TATTGTATTTTATTAAATGCATTTTAATTTATTTTAATGTGAATTATCTTGCTGCATGATATGTGTTAACATTTCTTGATGGAATTCAGTGAAGGAGAAATATGGAAGGTGGATGAAATAAAGGGATAAGAGGAGCTAAGTGCTGTGGTCTCAGTGTTTGTGTGGCCCCCAAACTTCATGTATTGAACTGCAATGCCCAATGGGATGTCCTGAGGAGGTGGGGTCTTTGAGACGGGCTTGAGTCATGAGAGAGGAACCCTCAGAAATGGGATTAGTACCTTACATGAACTTCAGAGAGGTCCCCTGCCCTTTGTGCCAAGTGAGGATACAAGAAGTGTGCCACCTAGAACACAGCCATCAGCCAACCATGTGTGCACCCTGATCTTCCAGCCTCTAGAACTGTGCGAGAGCAATTTCTGTTGTTTATGAGCCCATCAGTCTATGATATTTTGCTGTAGCAGCCCCAATGGAATCAACCTAACATTTTCTATAAATTTAACATTATTATAAATATTAAGCTTACTCTTTACTTTATTATATGTAATTGCAACTTTATTTCTAGTTTATAAATGTATACCTGAAGAAATAGATAAGCAAACACATATTTAGACCCATGTCCTTGTAATAGCAAATTCAGAATTTTAATGTATGGTTCTTCAATTCCAGTATATGTGCTCTGTGGACCCAATGATGCTTCCTCTTACTGATTGCATTGCCTGGTCAGTCTTCTGTGTGAGACCATGAGTGCTGTGACATCAGAAACTGTAACTTTCATCTCTGTATCCCATGCAGTGAGACATGGCTTAGAAAACACTGGTGCTGAATGAATCAGAAACACATGCTTTAAATTTACAAGCAGAGTCAAAGGAATTGACTCTGTGTGTCTCTCCATCTAGCCTGGCTTATAAATCTTTCTACCACCTAGTGGCAAAAATGAGTTCTGGGATCTGCTGATCTGAAGTAACAGGAACCATATCTAAAACTTAGTTTTGCAAATAGAATGTCGAGGAGCAAGCATGTGACACAATCTGCTAAAGAGTATGCCAAATAATGTAACATGTCAGTGACTTGGACTCTGGTCCGAAGTGTCCACGGCATTATGGAAAAGGTGAGATACATTGACATAGACTACTGGGTCCTGTGGAGAAAAAGGGATGGCATGGCTTCTCTCTGCAGGGGAGAGTTCCTTGGAGCACCTCAGCCACTCTCTCAGGAGGAGAGCTCTCCAACTCTTGCTTTGACAGGCTTTTATTGGCTTTTTAATAGCATACATCAAAGAAGGTTCTCATTCATTATACTTAGGTTTGCTTTAGGTAATTACTTTTTACAGATAGCAATGGAAGGGATGTTACAGATCACTTCTTAGAGATTAACAAGGAAAAAATGCTGCAAATTCAAGGGAACAACAAGAGTAATAGGTCTGATTAAACTTCAGTCCTTGGGAGAATTAGCACAGACTTCAGGACATTATTTTAAAGATATGCAGCACGCATTTTCTGACTGAACTTAGGGTGAGGGAGTTTCAGCAAGAGCAAGTGACAAAGCAGCCTAGGTATAATGCAGGCCTGATTTCCCACAGGAGAACTTCTGCACGGGAGTGGTCCTGCTTGTGAACTCATTCCCCCACTGGTTTTCATGTGGGTGCTGAGCTACATTTCCACATCTGGAGAAGTGGTTCCCAGTATGTCAGTCCTGTACCTTCCATTCAATTTTTCTGTGAACCTAAAACTACTTCAAAAAATAAATAAAATTCCTTTTTCTTCATTAATTGTCAAAGTTTTTATAATCATTGACTATAGAATTATAGTTTTTCCTTCACTCTTCTATATTCACATCTCACTGCGTTTATCAACTAGCAAAGCCTGAAGAAAATTTAAATAGTTAAGATAATTTAGAAAAATTCTACTAGAGCTGGGCAGGCCCTATGAAACTCCTGGGACTGATTTTTGTTTTTTAAACAAGCCTCACTTAAAAAAATATCTTTCATTTGAAAGACAGAGACAGAGAGAGAGACATTGACTTGTAACAATTATGCATTCATTGGATACTTCCTGTAGTCGCCCTGACCAGAGATGGAACACCCAACCTTAGATATGGGGGCAGTGCTTGAACCAACTGGGCTGCCCAGCCAGGGCCTCTCATTTACATTTAAGTTTGTGTAGTGAGGGGGAGGATCATCTTCACCATGCTGTGGAGATGAGGACGGGAACATCACCGAATGCACAATGAGAAGGATTGGGACAGTTGGTGACTGGTGGGATCAAAGCCAAGGCCACGCTGAAGAAAGAAGCCGGTTTGGGATTTGGGGTGAATTCTGGTTTTGACACCTGGAGGATGGTGTTCCAGAGGAAAATGATTTTTGAAATGTCAATGAGATCACTACTTTGTGATACAAATTCCTCTGGACATGGGACTTATTGATGTTAGAATGATAAATAATCTCATGGGGCGTAGTTTGACCATGCCAGAAAAGCATATGGACTAAACTGAGAATTTGCACATCCCCATGACAGGGAAAGTGGCAGGAGACACCAAGAGGCCATGTGAGGGAAGCAGAACTTTCTGGTCCTTGAGAAGGAGTGTCTGATGAATGAGAGCCATTCAGTAAGTGTGGTGAATGTATGAAGCAAATCACTCCACAATGTCTTTTTCCCTCTTGAACTTGCCAGCTCCTGGAAACTCAGTTCAAGCATCAGGGCACAAGGGATGCCCGCCCTTCCTCTGGTCTTTGGGGCACATGCCCACTGGGCCACCCGGGTGATGTGTGATACTTGCCATTGGATTTCTCTTCGGTTTTACAGAAAATTAAAAAGACTGAATGCTGGTCTAGCCCAGTCTAGGTGTCTGCAATGGCTCTGGGAGAGATTTTCCTCCCTGGTTCTTCTACCCTAAATACATTTGAACTCTCTAGGAAGAGAGAGGTGGGAAACCTTCAGCTTCATTGTAATGATTAACATGTCTTATATCTGACAACCTGTTGCCCCCACTCAGTTACTATTACTGTGGGGAAGTCAATTGAAATCTAGCTTATGAGAAAGAGAGAGAAGGGGGCACAGGGGTTTGGGTGGAGGTGGGCAAATGGGGGCAGGAAAATGGTGTCATGTGTAACAGTGTCACTAAGAAAAATAAAGTTAAATAAAAAAGAATTAGCGAATGTAATAAACATATCCAGAAACTATGTATATGGTGCATTCCCAGCATAGGCAAGGCTGGAAAATGCGCCTACAGTCTATTTGTCTTTTCAATATGGAATAAAATTGTGGGTTTATTATTGGAATATGATGAATGTTTAATATTAGCATGATAATCCAATTCCTTATACTAATATTCCTAAGGAAAATTTCATTGATAGTTGGTAGAAGTGATTTGTTAAATAGTAATACACATTATATAATAAAAACAACAATATATAAGTAAATGGGCATATTCTGAATAAGTTATACTTTATTTTAGATATATATCAATCAGCATAATTTCAATAGTAAATTCTCTAAACATTAGATTGAAAGTCAATAACAAGTCAAATATGTCTCACTATTATGACTTAACACTGTTCTGGATATTAAAAGAACACTTAGAGAAAATATTAGAGGTATCAAAATTGTTAATATTACCATTATTTTTTAAAACTAATTACCTAGAAAAACAATAAAAATAATTCACTAAGCTATCTAGTTATCTAAATGCTCAAACTTTAATGATTTTTCATGTGAAAATGATACAGTTATTTTTATAATGCTTATATGCATGAGAACAGAATACGGAAATAGCCAGCAGTACACAGGAAAAAAACTAATGAGGGGGCAATAACCTTAAATAGATTCTCAGACATACCAGTGAACCAAATAGTCGAAGCAACGTGGCACTGGGACGAGAGTTCACAGGCAGACCAGGAGACGGGAACAGTGTCCATGTCTATGTCTACTGCTCAGTGTCTATGTATGTACCTACGGGCCTGTGTGTCTGTCTCTTTATCCCTCCCTCAATCCTGAATGATGAATGTGAGATTCACCAGCACCCGGAGCAACGAGGAGGAATTAAGGCTTCTCTACAGAGGCACTTATCAAATGAAAGAGTGAATTTAAAACAAAATATACACATATATATTTGAAATTATAGAGATGTACATCTTACAGAGATGTAAGAGTTAAGTATATACATAAACAGTGCTTCCTGCTTGAGCTGCCCACTCTCACATTTCAGAGAGGCCAACTTTCTCCTCACACCAGACACTGCAAGAATCCAGTACAGTTCTTGTAGGGGGTGTAGGAGCCACAGGCTCAAGGTGGCCCCTGACAACCTCTGGCAAACAAAAAATGAGCAAAGTAAATCTTTAAAAATACAGTTTCTTAGAAACTACAGTTGACATACATTATTACATTACCTTCGGGTATACACACCTATGATTAGACAGTACATCACTGAATGAGTGATCACCCCAGTAAATTTCACACCCATCTGATAACTGCACACAGTTATTAGACTATTATTGCCTATATTCTCTATGGTATAATTTACATCCCCATGACTGTTACATAACAAGTGTGCTTCTTAATCCAGTCAGCTTTTATGCCCACCCACCCAAGGCCCTCACACCTGCCAACGGTCAAAACGTTCCAAAAGAAAAACTTCTGACTTCAAAAGTACTCAGTCTAAAGCAGAGTGACCTCCACAGTCCAATTATCTTGTTCCAGAGCCGTCACTGCACAGAGTTCCTGGGGATGGTGAAGATGGTGTAGGGGGACCCAATACATGCGCATAACTGATATTTCTTCTCCCAGCAGGACCCTCTCCTCCAGGTTTATGGGCCTGATACTAAGAGTACTCTCCTAAATTTCAAAATCCCCCATCAGTTCTATCCTGTACTGAGGAGGGGTGGGGGATGAAAGAACAAGCAAAGAAATGAAAGGGAAGAAAAGAGCAGCCCTTCCTTTTGTTACAGATATCACGGACATTTGTTGGGAAGCTCTCTCTCCCACCATTTTGGGAATGAACAAAGCTCAGTTGGTATCTGAGTCACAGGTGACCCCTGAGGAAGATGAGCTGCAGCTGCTGTCCTCACAGTCTTCATCTTCATCCCCGCTGCTGGAGTCTGAGGAGCTACTGCTTTCTGCCTTTTCCCCATCTTCCTTATTTTCCTTTGGTCTCTGTGATACATAAGAACAGCCCCCTCTAGTCCTTGCTGACCCTGTCTCTGGAGTCTGCAGCCCCTGCTCCTGTGCAAGCCTTTCTTGCAGAGCCCTGGCTGATGGACAGCATTTCTTTCCTCATGATCTTGGAGTCTGGGCCTCCAGTCATGTTCATGTTCTTACGCTTAGCATAGGATCTCTCTCTGTAAGCAGCATATTCTTCAGGGGACAGACTGCTGAGCCAGTGGTCCAGGTCCACCTTGTACTGTTTCTGCAGCTCCTCTGCCTGCTTCTTGTAATGCTGCTTCTGGCTCAGCGGGACACGCTGCCAGCGTCTGCCAATCTCCACCATGCGCTCCCTCATGGGCAGGTTTTGCAGCTCCCTACTTGACCACATATCCTGGTGGAACTTGTGGTATTCATTCATTGGGGGCTTCTCGGGCTCTCCATGGAATTTTACCTTCTCAGAAAAATAGTTTTCTGGGGGAGATTTCACTGGTTCTACATTTTGCTGAAACTTCTTTTGGACTTTGGTTGAGCTCCTTTTAAGGACAACAGAAGTGTCGGAGTTCTTGTTTAGATCAGGGTGGTCCTTCCTAAACTGAGCCATTTTCTCCTCAAACTCCTCTTTCTCTTTTTGGAAATCTTGAATGTATTTCAGCTTCATTTGTTCTGGGAGTTCCTTGTATTTCTTAGACAGAACCTTGGTCAGCTCCTGGTTGTTCATCTCAGGGTGCATTTGAGAGTACTGGGACCTCTTCTCCGTGAAAAAGCGGAAGTAAGCAGTCAGGGGTCTCTTGGGCAAGTGGGGATGGTTCTTGAGCTTTTTCTTTTGGTAAAAAGTTTTTAAATGTTCCTTAGTGTCCTGAACTATTTCTGTCAAAGTACGAAACTTTCTTGTTTGATTGGAAATTTCTAACCACTTGAGCTTGCACATTTCTGCAGAGTAAGTTTTAAAAGCCACTTTTCCCCAGTCCACCTTTGACTGGGTCATTTTGAATGTGTGACTGTCATTGGGTGGGAGATTCTTCTCTACAAGGTGTAGTAACATCTCAATGTCTTCTTTGGGCCATTGGTCTTGGCCATTAGTCGATGCCATTTCTAGGACTTTGAGTCCCTTACAAAGTTATGCAGACACCACAGCAGAAGCTCAAATATCTTCACTCTTAGGACTTAGCAGTTGAGCTATTTAAGAAGTTTTGCAAAGTGTGGTTCCATATTTCTGAGGAGAAAGGGAAGAAATGAATGAGACAATCAGAACCCACTGAGATATGTCCTTTATGTAATTGACTTGCCTTAACAAAATAAATGAAAAATTGCCCACATATAAAGTGAAATTTTGTTTATCTATCATGTGCTAGACTGTCACTTTTCAAAATCATCTTGTCACCACTCATTCTACCCTGCTTTTGCCAAATCTCATCAGGGCCTCTCTTAAATACAATGACAACTGGCTACTCAGTGCTCAATGTAAGAAAAAAGCTCTGGGGAAGAAGATAAAAAATTTAAAAAGAAAGAGAAATGTTGGAAAAGGAAAGGCTTATTAATCGCTAGTGCCTTTAGTGTGACAACCTTCTAAGTACAATCAGATGCCTGTGCAGGAGGTATGGGCGGGAAATAACATGAAAGAAGCTAAGAAGACATGCACACCAGACTGATATATTTTATGAATGAATTTAAAACCTGCAGTAAATGATTAATTTTTGCATTATTTGTACTGGAAAGGAATACATACCTTGTACAGAATGATTTTGCTTGTCCCATCTGAAGTCAAGATTCATATAAAGATTATGGAATATCTACAGTTTTATTAGATTAACTGTTCTTCATTTTTAATCATCTGTCACTATTACCAATCCACAACCAGGTTTTCCAATTTAGTTTTAGGTTTCAAGCCTAAATAAGACACGACACAGAATCTAGAACTTTCCCTCTAGGTATCACAATTAGTACAGACGAGGAATATAAAATTTTAAAACAATATATTTTGCAAAACTAAACTTCAAAAGAAGAACATTAAAACTTTATAGCTCGAGTAAACTAAAGTATTCCGTCATTTGATTTTGTATTAGGCAAATTACATTTTCATAGGAAAGTTTTAAGCCAGACCATGGTTAAATGATCATTTCTACTTTTTAAGGAAAGGAGAACTAACTTGTCTACATGAAAGTGTGTGCTCACCTGATGATTGTGGAATTCTGCTCACTGATGCTTATGGGGTGAAGGATTCTGTGTCGTCTGGGCTCTCAGGACCAGAGAGGCAGTTGCCACCTTCTGAGCTGTGAACAGTCAAGCCATCCAGGAAGGCCTCCCAGCAGAATGAACCTGGCTTTTGAAGGGAGCTTATCAAGGGACCAGGGAAGCTGCGCCCCAATCACGTTTCCACAGTGTTGACTACCTGGAGGACAGACCATGACATCAGTGATTAGATTAATCCCTTCAGCAAAATCTCAGGAAACAAACTCTTTAACCCCCACCCCCATCCCTTGTTCTTGGTCCATCCTAGGCATTGACTTTTCCCGCCATGCTCCTGGCAAAATTTCATCAGAGTTTCTGGCCAATGTTGGTGAAAATATTTCCACACTCTACTTGCATTCCCACTCCCAAATTTGACTTTATTTCAAAGTGATATTTGAATATAAATCCTTCTCTTCAGGACTAATTTCAGTCTTTTCCTATGGTCTAGAACCTGAAATTCTCTCAGCAGCAGAATGGCTGTTTAAAGTGTTTCAATCCCAGTCAATTGCTCCCCTATCTTTAGAGGTGAAGGTGGCACTCTAGATAAAAGTGTGAGTGATTATGTTTAGTTCTGTGTTTAGAGACCTGAGATATGGATTAAACATGTGTGATTTGGTGCAAGAAATTTGGTGAAACTTAAGCTGGCAATCAGGATATTATGACTGAAATGATGACTTTGATTTTTAAAGTATGAGGCTTCGTCAGTTTTTCAAAAAATAGATTTTCACCCTCCATTTAAAAATTTTATTACTGAGTTTCCAACAAGTAACTTCTGATATGAATTGCCCAGCAATAACATATTATGAAGAAACTCTAAATGAGGAAAATGCTTTAACAGTTGGGTTATAATGCAGTATGTAAATATGAATTAATTTTGGATTGCTCAACTAATTCATGTAGAGACACTGCCAAAGTTTGTACAGAGAAATTTCTGGAGGTCTAAATTCCTCGTGTTTCTCAAAGGAAATAAGTTGCTTTGTGGGCTTTTTAAATAAATGTCTCTTTTTTAATACCATGCAATAGTTTTGGTAATGAGAATGAGGCACTGCAGGAAGGAAAAGCTGTTTTTTATAAAAATATACATCCAGATACATACGACATACCTTAGAATAATGACATACCCTGTGCAACCCACAAGGCTACACCCCCCTCCTCACATCCCCCAGCCCTACCCCTACCCTGTCACTGGGACACGCACCAACCAGCTCAGGGTCTACAATGCCCACGGTCAAAATGTCACCTGGTGCCCTGACAATTCCCCTGGTGTCCTTGGCAGCTAAAGCACAGGCAGGGCAGGGCCAAGGGCGAGGCCATGCCTCCCAGCCCTGGTTAGGCAGCCCTCACCTCGGAGCCACCACGTGTACACACAGGTCGTCAGTCCAGGGGGATGGAGGACAGCATGCAGCCCAGACCCCCTGTTCCTGCTCCACTCTTGGCATGACTGTGCCCCTGGCTTCTGGGACCACACCCCAATTGCCCACAGCACCCGGCCACTCGAGTTCCCAGAATGCATGCCCACAGGCCTTGTGTTTTGTCAGAGCTCTTCAGAATGTGCCTTCAATGCTGCAGGCCAAGAAGCCGGCTCTCCAGCTTTTCTTGAGCCGGAGTCCTGCCTGCTTCTCTTACCTCTTCACCTGCCCTAACTCATATACACATATATTCCCTGTTCACTAGAGTATGACATGAAAACTAACATAAATAGTTTTAATGAGATGTAAGCCAATCACATCTTTTATAAGTGGTTTATACACATGAGCAAACTGTACTCTGAAGCACCTAAGCTATCATTATTATACTATGAAATTGGTAAAGCATTAAGAAATAGTATTCTAACAAAGTTGAATGTACCAAGCGGGCACTGTCATATACTATTGGTATGGGTAAGGTAAGTGCAGGCAGTCCGGCTTCCTCACCCAGGTGTCTGGGTAGCTAAGGGGAGGAGTGTTCCCTTAGCCTTGAATGGACCTGATAACCAGTGTCTCATAGCCTTCTGACAGAGTCCAATAAACTGTTACCATGACATGGAGTGGGCTCGTAGGTGCAGAATTACATTACGTTTTATAATTTCTGTCATCGTGCCAGCTTTGTTCCCCTCAAGTACTTAAACTTTGAGGGGCTCCCTGCTGTGGGTTATTATGGGAGACACAGGGAAAAAGACGCATGCCATGTTGGGTGCCACTCTAGGGCACAAGGGCCAAGGACACGTGCCACACAGAGACATGCAGATAAACACGCAGCTTGCAGCGTGTGTGGCTTATTTCGTCAATAAAAGCAGGCCAGACATTCCAATGGCTGCATGAGTATTATTTTGTCTTTGTGAATTCCATGAACCAGCCTGACCTCGAAGAGTCTCAAAACCGTATGTTATAGATTAATGAAAGGTAGTTTGCAAATACGCTTTAAAATTCTTAAAAATACCTCTGTCTCTGTCCTAGGAATTCTAGTTCTAGAGGAGAAGCCTGAAAAACTTCCTAGACAACACTTAGCATACAAGGAATTTACACCAGCAATTTCTCTTCTCACTGCACACAATCACCTACAGTAGTCTCCCTCTTCTCTACCATGTTGTTTTCCTCAGTTTCAGTTACCTGAAATCAGCCAATGATTTCTTCAACCCCAATGTAATCGTCTGTTACTTTTACCATTCCACAACAAGGTTGTCCAATTAAGTTTCAGGTTTTAAGCCAAAATAAGAAACTACACAAAATCTAGAACTTTCCCTCTAGGTATCACAGTTTGTACAGACAAGGAACATAAAATGTTAAAACAATGCATTATGCAAAACTAAACATCAAAACAACAACATTAAAACTTTATAGCTAAAGAGGAAACTAAAGTAATGCAGTCATTTTAATTTAACTAGGCAAATTACATTTTCTTAGGGAAGTCTTAAGCCAGCCCATAGTTAAATTATCATTTCTATTTTTTAAGGAAAGAAGAACTGACTCATCTACATGAAAGTGTGTGCTCACCTGATGATTGTGGAATTGTGCTCATTGATGCTTATGGGGTCAAGGATTCTATATCGTCTGGGCTCTCAATACAAGAGAGGCAGTTGCCACCTCCTGAGCTGTGAACAGACAAGCCATCCAGGAAGGCCTCCCAGCAGGATGAACCTGGCTTTTGAAGGGAGCTTATCAAGGGACCATGGAAGCTCCGCCCCAATCACATTTCTGCAGTGTTGAAAATCTGGAGGACAGACCAGAACATCAGGGATTAGATTAATCCCTTCAGTGTTATCTCAGGAAACAATCTCTTTAACCCCACCCCAGTCCTTTGTTGTTGGTCCATCCTAGGCATTGATTTTTCACACCATACAGAGGGCCAAACTTCCTAGGAGTTTGTGGCCAATGTTGTTGAAAATGTCCCCACACTCTAATTCTATTCCAGCTCCCAAATATGACTATATATCAACGTGCTATTTGAATATAAGTCCTTCCTTAAGTACTAATTTTGGTCTTTTCCTGTGGTCTAGAACCTGAAATTCTCTCAGCTGCAGGATGGCTATTTAAACTGTTTCAATCCCTGTAAACCTCTCCCCAGTCTTTAGAGGATTAGGTGGCATTCGAGATAAAATTGTGAGTGACTATGTTTAGTTCTGCATTCAGAGAGTTAAGGAAGATATGCTCTAAAACTCATGTGATTTGGTGCAAGCAATTTGGTGAAAGCCAAGATGGCGATCAGAATATTATGACCGACATGATGATTTTGTTTTTTTTTTTATAGTATCAGGCTTCATCAATTTTTTAAAAAATAGATTTTCACCCTCCATTTACAAATTTTATTACTGAGTTTCCAACAAGTAACTTCTGATATGAATTGTCCAGCGATAGCATATTATGAAGAAACTCTAAATGAGGAAAATGCTTTAACAGTTGGGTTATAATGCAGTATGTAAATATGAATTAATTTTGGATTTTTCAACTGGTTCATATACAGAGACCCAACCAAAGTTTGTACAGAGAAATTTCTGAAATTCTAAACTCCTCGTGTTTCTCAATGGAAATAAGTTGCTGTGTGGGCTTTTTAAATAAATATCTCTTTTTAATACCATGTAATAGTTTTGGTAATTTTTTAGAATTACATTACGTTTTATAATTTCTGTCATCATGCCAGGTTTGTTCACCTCAAGTACTTAAACTTTGAGAAGCCCCCTGCTGTGGGTGATAATGGGAGAGACAGGCAAAAAGACATATGCCACGATGAGTGCCACATACTGTTCTGATAGAATCCAACACTGTCTCTTCTGTCCTTGGGGAGACATGGATCATGCTGAGTATCTACGTCGAGTCCCTTCGGGCTTTTTTAGCTATTTAGTAGCCATCTTGGATATCAGATTCACTGTCATAATATTGAAGTGTTTGTGTTGAAGCTACCCTCATGTTACCCTTAATAATGATCCCTCAGTAGAGAAGTAGTTTAGACTTTATCATAAGTATCTCAGTTTAGAGGAAAGCTAGTATATAGAGGGGTTGTTTCTAGTGAAGATTTCAGGATTTCTCCGGGTGTCTTGCAATGTATTTATCACAGAATTGATGAGAGTACTACTGTAGGTAACATATGAGGAATAAACGTTTTCTTCAAAAAAAACTGAATATTTGGAATTTCAGGACAACCTTCTTTCTTTTCATTGGAGCATGTAGGGAAGTAAATTATTCTCTCTCCACAAATAACAAATTATCTCCAAGTCGTAACTTCCTTTGCCTGTGATGAATCTGACATTACTGGGACATTAGGTTTTATTATTTTTAAATTAATTTTGCACCTGAAGTTCAGATCATCTAAGATTTGGTGTTGATCCAATATGTAGTGAATGACTAGTGACCTTAGATGAGAATGGCAATACAGATTTGAGACAGCCAGGAACTGGAAGTAGACCTTGTAGAGAGAAAAGCCAAGATTGCAGTCAAGCTGCCACAGGTGAGGGATGCCAGCAGCCAGCAGATGGGGAAGCAAGAAAGGATCCTCCACCAGAGCATTTGGGGGGAACGTGCTCTGCCCTTCCTTCGTATCAGACTTCTAGCCTCTAGAACTATGGGAGATACATTTCTGTTGTTTACAGCTACCTGGTGTGTGGCAATTTGTTATCTCATCATTGGAAAAAAAAATAAAGATAATGAACTCAATGAGAGCAGCCAGCTCTTAATTTTCTTTACCTCCTGTGTCTTTAGTTACTGCCCTTTGCACTCACACACATGCAGCAAGATTGAGAAACTCTGCCTCTAGAAATAGAAGAAAATAGTCACTGATATTTAGAAATGTCTAAGTGCATTACTATTTGGAGTCTAGATATGCAGGTGAGTAGAAATAACAAAAATATGATGGAATATACTTGTAATAGAAGATTTTGTCTCCAGTACAAGGATTTATGTTACTTCAATAACAAACATTAAAAACCAGGGTACTGGTGTTTGATCCTTTTCCTGTTCTCACCACCCACCAGAAATGACTACCTGTGAAACCACTACTCAAAAAGTACTGGGACATGATGGATTAGTACTTCAACACCTTTTTTGTTTGTGTTCTGTGATCCTCTATTCAGAGGTTATGGGAAAATACTTTCAGCCTGTCTTCTTCTGAAATACTTAATAATATGATTGGGCTCAAAACTCACATTTCTATAATTCATGAACAGATTCCAATCACATCTTTTATAAGTGGATGATACAAAACCATGGAATCTGCCCTGACTGGTGCGGCTCAGTGTACTGGGCATCGTGCTGCAGACAAAAGGGTCACCAGTTCAATTTATTTTTTCAAATAATAAAACTAAATTGTAAAATTTTCAAAGTATTTAAATTTCATTTATGTTTATTCCAAAAAACATATTTCAACAAATCAATATTTATAGTTAAACAAATAATTTAGATTTAATTTATATTCAATCCAATATATATTCAAATGCCCACATAAACTCTAGATGAAATAAACCATTAAATTTGAATCGTAAAATCAGAAGAAAATGAGGGTGTGGTTTGATAATTCTAGATGTCCTTCTAAACATAAAAATTGGAAAAATCACCAAGTGAGCATACACAAATGAAAAACAGCATACTGGGAAAAATATTTGCAATGAGTACAAAAAACTCTTACTATAACTAAGTTAAAGGCCCTTTGAAACACTAACCTCAATATTAATAATTAATTTCCACTGCCCTCTCCTAAGTGTGTGTGTGTATGTGTGTGTGTGTGTGTGTGTGTGTGTGTGTGTGTTCAAGTTAGAGGGAAAAAAGTAGAAGGAATAAAGATATAAAGCCAAGCCAGAAAGAAGTATAGGAGAATTAGTGAAAATACATAGGGTTAAGACTTCTATTCTTCTTGAAATTCAGCCACAACCTTAAGATAGAAGTAAATCTATTATCAGGAGAAGCCAGGCTTAGGTGATCACAAGCCGAAATGTGGAGTCAAGAGGATTAGTAAACAAGAATAATTTAGGAGGCTTTGAGGATCAGGTTACAGAAAGGGTTCAAATGGGTAATGTATTGACCCAGAATTGACCTCTATAGAAGTAGAAGCTTCTCAGTCTGATCCATTTCATCAAAAATGTTTTGATTATTTCTTGATCTTCATAGTTATAAGACATTGAGACAATAATTCAGGGAAGTTCATTAGTCCACTCCAAACTTTTGATCTATGGATTCATTGCGCTCTGAGATTTGGTAAGTTTTGCTAAGTCACTACAACTAATTTATGCTTCAGAACAGTGATCCAATGATCTACAATGATTGTACAATTTCATTACATGTAACTCAGTCCCCAGAGATGGTGCTATTATTGAGAAGTAAGTTTATCTTCAAAGTCATTCAAACTCTTTTTGTATTATTAAATGCTTTTAACTTTAAAAAGCTTCACAGACAACCCTGACTGGTGTGGCTCAGTGGATTGAGTGCCAGCCTGAGTCCCAAAGGGTCACTGGTTTGATTCTCAGCCAGGGCACATGCCTGGGTGAGGGGCAACTTCCCCAGTGGGAGGCACACAAGAAGCAAGCACATATTTGTGTTTCTCTTGCTCTCTCTGTCCCTTCCCCTCTCTCTAAATAGAAATCAATAAAAAAATAGTCACAAACAGAAAAAAGGCAATTCCTCAAAATAAAGCCTATATATACCAAGTACTTATAAACCATGTCAACCTAAAGGACAATTTTCTAGCAGAACTCACAGTTTTTTAAATTTATATAAGAAAATATTTGTTTTGAATTGCCTTATTGGAACTGGAAAGCATTATGTTGAGTGAAATAGGCCAGGTGTTGAAAGACAATACCATATGATCTCACCTTTAACAGGAAGCTAAACAACAAAACAAACAAGCAAGCAGAAAGAAAACAAGACGCTGAAATAGAGAACAAGGGGACAGTGACCAGAGGGGAGAAGGAAGGTAATTTAAGGGGAAAAAGGGGGAGGGATTTGGAGGAACAAATAGGAAGGACACAGGGACGAGACCTAAAGGGGAAGGAAATGGGAGGGAGGTGGGGACACGAAGTGGAGGGGGCTGGGATGGGAGAAAAGACAAAAAAACTGTACTTGAAAAATAACTAAATAAAATTAAAAAATAAAAATAAAAAAGG